CATACATTGCACCTGTGTGCCCTCTGTTCCCTTTGGTGGTTGGTCAGTGCACCTGGGCACTCCATGGCTCTTGGCTTTCAATGCTTTCACCTGCTTTTCACAGCTGTAGCCCATTGGGGATGAGGCTGGCTGCAGCCCCACTCCCAAATACCACAAACTGTGTAGCGACATACCTACAAAGGCTCAGCTTTACCCACAAAATTTTACGTTAGTTCAGGTGGGCACTGTTCTTTGTACTCCTGCGCTGCCACAGCAGGATTCAGGACTCCTACCTAGTCCCCTTCCCTATCCTATTGCTCCACACAACAAGCACCACCTCCATCACCAAGTCACTGCACGCATTCTACTTTGTGTTTTCCAAAACAAAAAGAGAATGTATTTTCATTCATAACTTTTACTTCTTTCCAGGAGATGTGAGGAGTCTTATTTACTCCAAAGAAGCCCCAGGCTATGCGTATATAAGCTCCAGCTCCTAAAAGATCAAGCTGGCAAGTCAGGAGATATAGAGCAGACAATAGGCAGACCTTTCAGTCTACAAATTGAAGGTTGAATGATTGGCAAACAACCTCTCCTCATGAAAAATTATGCTACAGCAACACAATAGTAATGGGAGCCAAAAGTATGTCTATTCCTGATTTGTAGACCAGGTTTTAGTTATGCTATAATCCTCTCAGTATGCCTGCTTAGGATCCCACAATCACACAAGTCATGAACACTACCCACAAATCCTGCAGCTTCCATACCGAGCAAGCGACACACCAGATGAAGAGGGATGGAAAATATACATGTGGAATTGTTCTGGGAACTTAAAGCACACATAACAGTAAACAAAGAAAATATGGTACAAAACCTGTTGCTATTTTCACAGCATTTGTGGAGGAAAGCTGCATAAATGCAGAAGGATGCATACTGCCTCACACCTTTCCTCAGATTCCAGCAAATTAAGCACAGCAGCACAAACAGCAGCAGGGAGAAGGAAATGCTCTGCAGAAGAGCTTCCTTGTTTGCTGCTGCACTACAGGTATATATTTGGGTATGTGCGTGAGAGATGAGCAAGAAGTGTTAAAGTTACTTTTCCTCGTGGTTTCTTCTACAGCCTTGGCTGCTCATGGAGATTTGAACAGGGAGACATCTCTTAATGCTATCCTCCCTCCTCCAGGCACAGTTAAAGCCAGTTTGAAAAGGTTGCTGTAGTTGTCCCCCGTCCACCTGGGGCTAGGCTTCACAAAGCCATTACAGCTGACTGCCTCTGCCCCCCATTGAGAAGGCAGTGCCACTGTCAGATACTGGAGCACTAGCTTAAGTGGCACTACAGACAAAATTTGGCTGGTGGCAGGAGAGATGGCTGAAAGCCAGCTGACAGGGAAGAACAGTATCAATCTCTGTGCTGGGGGAATCCTCTGAAAATGCTGCTGAAGCAAACAGCAACTGCTAGCAGCACAGAGGCAAACAAGACACGAGTGATCCTGCTCTCATGGAGAAGAGAAAAAGGCAAACGGCTGAAGTAATCAACATGAACTTGAACCATGGCACAGGGCAAACATGTGGCATGCCGTATGGAAACTCAGAACAAAACAGAAAGCTTGGAACAAAATTAAATTAAAAATCTGCTTCTATTTCAAATTACTCTATGAAACATCTAACTAAAAATTGTGTTGTAAGTTGATATGACTTTGTGACATGTTGTTCCTTGAAGGCTGCCATTTTCCATCAAAAAAAAGGTATGAAAAACGTTTCAATCTGGTTACCTTCTATCCAGCAAGGCTAGAAAACATTTAAGTTGTAAGCTAAAAAATAACACCACACCATTAGTCAGCAGGAGATAGCTATTCAGCCAGCATCTATCATAATGTTTTCAAAATCCACAGATACCAAATGCCTGGAAAAGAAGGCCGGCAATCACTCCAAGCATAGATTTTGAGCTTTAAATGCATTTGATGAATTCATTTTTTTAAAAACAGGCCCTGTGCAGCCTCAGTTTGCATACTGTTTCTATATGTAATCTAGAAAGGATGACCAAATGTCCATCTCCAAAACAAATGAGCCTGGAGCATTAGGGTGCTCTGTGTTCTGAGGAATCATCTGTTGAACAGCTTCACACTAAAACATCCCTGCAAAAGTACCTAAGTTGTCAAATCTAAGTCTTAAAGAATGACTGCTTTTAAAAAAAAAAAATCTTTCTGTGTAATTTCTAATAAGTACTTGAATGAAATCAGACAAAGAAGAATCAAGAGGAGGTAAAATGAAGAATCTAGACAATCTCTCCTATGAGGAAAGACTGAGAGATCTGAGAGTACTTACCTAGGAGAAAAAGAGTAGGTTCAAAGAGGACTTCATCAGTGTATAGAAATACTTGAAGGGAGGATGCAAAGAAGACAGAGCCAGGCTCTTCTCAGTGGTGCCCTGTCACAGGACTAGCAATGGGCACACACAGAAACACATAAGAAGAAAACCATCTACTTTGAGGATAGTCAAACACAGGAAGAGAGGTTGTAGAGTTTCCATCCTTGGAGATACTTAAAAACCATCTGAACACTGTTCTGGGAAACCAGCTCTAGGTGGCCCTGCTTGAGCAGGGCAGATGGATGAGATGACCTCCACTGGTCCCTCTCAACCTTAACCATACTGTGACAAATGGATGAATTATTACCAGTTATGCAAAACTATATAAGAACAAAAAAGAAAAAAATCAAGAATGACCAAAAAAACCCACCAAACAAACAAAAAACAACACCACTTTTATATTCATTAGGGCAATAATGGATTATATTTGTCAATAATACACCTGTTTGTCCTGTAATATACCTAATGGTAAAATGAGACTAGTGGGCTCACTGCACCAAGCTCTGCTACCAGGCCTAAAGATAGCCCAAAATGGTTACACATAAAACTCAAACACATCTGCAAAACTTAATTTTAAAATCGTATCCACACATTTTCAAACTCCCCCTCTTACATTCATTAAGTTCAGAGAACTGATTTCCATTGGCAAACTCTCTAACAGTAACAGTGAATGACCAGAGTAGGAGCTGAAACAACCATTATCTGAGCAAAAGGCAGAGCAGAGTCTTTTGTGCACTCTGTCCTCTAAGGAGTATTACAATCACAGAAACACCTCCTAGGTTATGTAGTTTATTTGCCTGCCAGCATGAGATTCATCCCTACAATAAATTCTAACACTTGCTTTCACCACGTTAAGAGCAATGGGCTGCATCCAAAGAAAATGGGTTGACTGTGAACTCCTCCCCTATATTTTGCAGTACCTAATGGAGGATATTGCTGCAGTGTGTAACAGGGAAGGTGACAAATGGTCCAGACAACACACCAGGCCAAAACTGCCAAGTCAGCAACATAACAGCACCAGTACCAATATTCCTACCACCTTGCTATAGCACAGTGTCCTCCCCAGCCCAAGGCACAGCTGATTAGTCCAAGCATCTCACAGCTTTGAGAAGTTCAACTGTGCCACACAGTAGGCATGTGCAAGAAACAGCACAAGCTGTGAAACACTGGGAGGTAATTATTTCAGCATCTTACTTAAATAAAGCTTTCCACCTGCCCTGTTCTCTCCAGGGAATCCTGCTGATCACCACACTTTCACCCCGTAGAGGATTTCAAGAAACATCTCCAACCATGGTCACCTGAACGTGTTCACAAAAATCAAAAAAAAGAAAAAAGAAACCCTAAAGGTAGTGGTTGGGAAACAAGTGACCATGATGAAAACAGGCGGAGAAAATTCCAAAAAGCTGATACAATCATCCTCTATCCAGGTACCGAGTTACATAGCAAGAGTTGTCTCAAAAACAAGCTGTAGGGCTCCCATTTTTCACCAAACATATTTGGGTGAAATATTTGTGGTGTCATCTTCTACTGGACAACAGTTTCCTTGCATGGTTTTCTACACAAAACCTAAAAAGCCCATAAGCAGATAGTTCATATTTTTAAACATTTTTCTATTGTATCTGTTCTCGTCCAAAAAGGCACTCACAAGCTTTCAGCCATGTTTCTCCTAGAATGAGCTTAGAAAATCAGCCACACAAACTGCTCAAGATTAGGAAACATACACCACTCCATACCTATCTAAAACAAATAAAATACAAAATAATCATTTACTTAAACCTTAATGAGAAGTTGAGAAGACCACTAAAACAGTTATATTAAAATAATCAGGCAGCACTAAAAAAATTAAGACCTGGTAAGACTGTTCACATAACCCTAGATCTTTCACCTTGACAATACACATTGTAAACAACCTTTTTTTCCCCCAGACACTTGTTGTTTTCTGCATATTTAAACAGATGTGTGTGCTTAACAACTGTAAAACAACATCATTTACTAAAATAACTGAATACAGATTAAGATACTTCACTTTATATACAAACTTTCAAAATACTATGACTCTTTTATATTATTTAACATACAGAGACAGAATCTTAATATATGGATTTCAAAAATAACTCACCTTTGCATTTAAACAAAGAAAGAGGGATTTGCATACGCTATGTAAGTATCTTTGTGAAGGTACATGTGTGTACATACTTTGCATATGTGTTACCTACATAAGTATTAGCTAAAGACAGAAAAAGTCCTAAGGAAAAAAATTAACATGCTTAAAATATCCATTAGTGTGAGAATAAATGCAGTTATACAATGCAAAGGTTTGTAACATTCAGTGTATCAAAAATTGTTATGAATGAGGAAAGTATCCTGTTAGAAATGTCCATATATGAAATTATAGACAAACAGGAAAATCAGGAAAGTTCCAACAGTTTAGAAACATTGTGAAGCTATTTCACTGCAGTATTTCCCTAATGTTTCCAAACACACAGCATATACTTTATCTGGAGTCACTCAAAATACTGTCTTTAAAAAGCTGAATTACTTACTCAACAGCACATACAAAATGAAGTTTTTGAAGAGGAATGCTACACTAGTGGGCCTTGCTGGGAAAAAAAAAAGTTTTTATTTTAAGCACACAAACTTTTCTTTCAAACTCTTACCTATTTGTTTCCTGTACTGGTCAACAGGAGTCCTTGATGTAGAGGCATCTTTTCTACCCATTGTTTTCAATCCAAAAATCACTGTCAGTATCAGAAAAAAAAACAAAAAACAAACCAAAACAAAAGCCACAACATTATTCCTAAATTAATTACTAACAAAATCAATTGCTTATAACATCATAAAAATGGTAACAAGCAGCATTTACATGATTATACACAAAGACATAAGCCTTCCCAGAGTACAATGAGACACTGGAGTTAATCATCACTATTCTGAAGACTATTAGATATATTCTAAATATACCTTTTTCTCCATTGCATGAGTTATTAATATTACAGAATGTCTGTTAGTTTGAATGAAAATAAAGAAAAAAGAAAGGATTTAAACTGATTTCACTGTAATTCAGGATTTGGTACCACTGTAATTCAGCATTTAGTACTACCAATTACATTCCTATATAATTTATTTCTTTAGTAAACCAGGGAATTAATGTAGTGTTGTGAACTGTTTCCATTATTGAAAATACATTTACACCACATACAGGAGTCAGAAGCAGGACTAGGCTGTGTGCATCCACAGGTAAAATTGCTCAGGAAACCCACCTGCAGATGAGCAGATACCTGAAACACAGCAACCCCACACACGCCTGTGTTCCTGCCATGGGCTCTAGATATCTGTGAATGAACTGGAAGTCAAGAACAAAAGCTGAGAGCTGTATGCATTTGACACCCCTCAGACATGGTATTGATAGTTTAAATCACCTTCATTGCATTTAAGTAACAACCATCCTGACTCTTGGATGGGATTCTCGCATTGCACAGTCATGTTGTACACATCCTCTCAAGGAGATGACATTAGGATTGCACAAGAAACTGTATAATCATCCATACAAAGATGTTCTTTCTGGTATATTGGTGCTTCCACAGCATTCATGTAACTGAACCAGCATCATCTGAACAGTGCTCTAGCAAATTCCTGATGTATCTTTTAACATGCAAAACCTTATGGTTTTATATTCGTCCCTCACAGGGCTGCAACTCAAGAGGCAGCTTCTACAAACACACTCATTTCACTGCTTTTTCCCTGGTTACAAAGTAAGTGGCTGTTACAGTCATGCTTATTGTTCAAAACACTGGGATTGAACCATTTTAGCTGGGCTGAAGACATTACTCACCACAGTGAGGATAAGCCCCACTATCTAACTGCCTCTACAACACAAGAGTCCCAACATAAACACCCACACTCATGAGAGGTCTGACGTTTTCAAGAAGTGTCAGATTTACTGTTCAAGCACAGAAGATGCACAGCAGCCAATGCCTGCCTTTTCCCAACTGGCCCTGGTGAGAACCATGCCAAGGGCAAGCTTCAGCTGAATCATCCTGGGTAGCCACAAACCATGTGCAGATTGTGCACATATGGCCATGGAGTTATCTGCAAGAGTTGTACTTTTCTGTTAGGCATAACCAGCTGTGCTACAGCAAGGCGAGTGTCCCTGGTCACTGCCAAGGCACGTTTTCTGGGAAATGAAACCCTGGAAGGCACCAGTATGCCAAATCACGACCCAAAAAGCATGCCATGGCACTGCTGAACACTACTGCCAGCATACCAAATTTAAAGCAAACACCATTATTTTCTCCAGAGCTTCAAACATGATTTAAAATATAGCTGCAGGAATAATGCCCACTAGTTATTTGTGCATTTTAAACCCACAAAGTTTATTATTTTATATTTATCTGTTCTATAGGAATTACTAGCATTTAATGTCAAGTGACAAATCCAGGCTCCTTAATTTCATTTGTGGATTATATGGCATAAAATAAAGTCAGCAACCTTTTTTAAAATGTATTCAGGAATAATAGCAAGGTAGAGAAGAGTGCCACTAATTTTTAATCTGAACTGAAAATTCAATTATAGTGTTCTAATTTTTCCATACATTATTTTGCTTGAATTCAGAGAATACTCCCTATTTTATATAAAACACGGTTGCAGGGAACTGCAATTCACTGGGTTGCGTTTTTTTCCCTTATATTACACTTCACAGGACTGGGTCATATTTCATAACATTCACATCATAATAATTAGAAGGGAAAAATAAAAGTACAGCTTGAACTTTCATCTAATTGAGGAGGTAACAGATACATTTTTACTCTACAAAACTAGTTCTTGGCTTTTTTATGCCACGGTTAAGACACTGTTTTGACTTGCCTTTTGCAAGTTCCATAGTCTACTAATGGTCTATAACAAAACATCAGCTGTGAAAGATGTTTGCAGTTTTAGCAATGCCAATAAAACAGAAGAAGAAAACACAGGCAAAGATTATTTCCTGACTTAAAATAAGCCACAGAGATACTCATGTTTGCCTGTGTGGCTCAGTGGCACTGACTCTCGCATCTAGAACCCCGAGTCCTCTTTGTTCTTCAAAGGGATGCAGTAATCATCATTCATTTCCACTGCTTTGAAGGTTCCAACCCACTGAGACACTGGCACACAGAGACCAGTGTCTAATAAGACAGCTATTTGCATAGAAGATCAGCCACAATTTAAAACGTGTTGTTATAGATGTGGAAAGGGAATAACAGATCTATATTAGCATGTTCAAAACTGAGATTGTTTTCACAATTTAATTCCTTGGGGACTATGGCTCATCACCTTCTCTTGCAAAGAATTCCACCTTATTGGACAATTTGCCATGAGCTAGACTTAAACTAAAATATGGATTAATAAGAAGTAATATTTATTATTTATGAACCTTGCTGTGGAAGTGGTTTTCAATGCAACTTTCTAACCATTTATTGATAAAGTAAAAGCCTGAAACCTTTGTGAGTTAAAAACGAATCCTCCCAATTTAAAATAGGAGTGGTCATCCTACTATAATTGGTCATCTTTACTGTAAAAGAAATTTACACTCAGGTATCTGACTTTTGCTGCTTCTGACATCAGCAAATGGAGGATCTGGCTTCTCCTGTATTTCTTTGCCAAACCAAAGGGACAGGCAGCATGCCATACTGCATGCATCCCAAGCTGCCTTCAAGTCCCTAAAGTTTTAATGACTACACAACATTTTAAAAAACATGTCAAGGAGCTTGTCACTGCTCCTTTTACTGGCTACTGAAAATACTTGAAAAGTATTTCAAATAATATGAAGGCAATGTGAGCCATCCTCAACATTCAAGCTTTTATAAAAGATGGTTTTAAGAAAACAAAGCAAGGCCCTGATCATTTTTTATTTATTTCTGCTTCAGACATACTACAAGATTAAAAGACATGTTTTTGTGGCACCCTTCACTATTTTTTCACCCGCTTTGGCTTCCCCTCTAGTAAATCCCCTTTGAAAGTTACACACTCAGAAAAATACTTTGTTCCTCTCCTCTTTTACTCCTAAGCAGTGGCTGATAATAATTAAAACACATAATAAATTGCTTATTATAACCTCCCATTGTCAGTAACATTTGGTGAGATTAAAACCAGTCCAAAATGTACATTCAAGGTCTGGCTACAATTTAAATCCCAATTCACTGTTCTTGATGTATACATAGCATTTTATACACCAGTTCAAAAAAAATTGAAGAAATTACATTAATGAAATAGAAAATTACTATGAACGACTTTAGAAATACTAATAAAAATAAGAACAGGATCTATATATACAGAGATTGCACTTTGTACATTATTGGTGCAATACAAATTATTAATAACAATAAGCCATAAAATGTAAATCAGTGCACACCCAAAAGATATGCATATCAGCATGTGTACAAACTTCCTTAGCAGTGATATTTGACAGCATGTCTGCACTCTTCCAGCAGGTTGCCTAAATATTAACAATGGGAACATGAAAGAAATAATCAATGAAATGACTGGTTTTGTAACTGAAATATAGTTAGTCAGCCAAGAGAAAAGTAAGCAAAACTCCAGGACAGAAAAGAACCACTACATAACGTAGAGCTACTGAACTAAGTCTTTGGCATCTGTACATATGCACAAGTTCCTCATCTTTAATTGCAAAGAGATATCTACCTTAAACATAACTTTGTTTTTGTTTGTTTTGCTGGACGTAATGCAGATTGATCATCTGAACTCATAAATTGATTCATTTTTAACATAATTCAAAGATGCTATGAAAACTTACTGATATCACTGAAGGATAACTGGTCTAACTGGTCATATCCCAGTTAACTCCATAGTTGATAATAACTAATGGATAGTAAAATATTTACAAGTTACAAGAGAGCAAAAATAGCCTTTTATCTGCCTCAGGTAAAATTCAAGAAGTACATCAGATCATCTGGAAACATCAAGTTATCCCAAAGAAATGGCAGCACTACATTTAAAGTGGGAAACCATCTGCATGTAGGTATTTTGGAAATTGCTGCTGATGGTTATTCTAATTGTTGGGTTTTTTTTTTTTTTTTTTTTTTTTTTTATTGTACTGCTGAAGTACAGTAACTAAGGTCTGTCTACACAGCAGTGGAAGCAGCCTGCAGCCAAAATTGCTAAAATAATGCAGATTAATTATTTAACCATACTGTAGCCGAGAAAAAGACTTTTAAAATCTTTACTCCTATTACTCCCTTAAGAAAAACTTCTACAAACAAAATACATTCATGTTCTTTTGGTAAGCCTTACAGTATTCTTCCATTCCTCTCTGGAAACTCTCTCTAAAAGAATGAGACTATTATTTCCAAGGAAAGAGTCCCCTGCCCATGGTGCTTCTTGCAGAATCAATCTCTGCTTTATCTGGGGATTTATTTATTTTTATGTTAATAAAAGGAGTGTAATACTTCTTTACTTAATTTAACCTTGAAAGCAGCAGAGGTGATTTAAATTTAATTAAATTTAGGAAAATTAATCAAAACCACAGGATCCATAACTCTAGTCAGAACAGATATTAAAAATAATTTCAACATTCTACACAAGGATAAGAAACACCATACCACATCCCAAGATTCAAACTATATAGGAACTACAAGTTTTACTCAGACATCTATCAGGCTGTTTCATAGCTTCATGTAAGCACTAGGAACAAAACACACATTGTTACTTCCAATTAGTACCCTCTGCATTGTTGTTTTTTTAGCTA